TATCTCATGAGATAGACTATGACAGCAATATCCCATTATAATAACTGAAACTATGAGGAAAGAGATCAGCTGACTGAAGGGGCCAACATACATATTGTATTGATGTTCTTAGTATGTGTATAACACAACAAATCACCCATGAATAACATGTTGGTTAAAGGGCATAAGGATCTGAAATAATCAGTAGGAATGTGTGGGAAATGAAAACAAAGTTGACTGATCGGAAGCATATTTGAGAAGTCAGGAAATGAAATATAATATTGCACATACTTTTTAGGTTTAATAACTTAGTATAGTGGAGCAACAATTTGATGAATATGATCTGTTTGGTCCTGGAGGAGTTAGGTATACCTTAATAAACAATTCTCGGTCATTGAACAGTATGTGGTCCTGGAAATTTTAGTCAACAACATATGGAGCACTAGATAGCTCCTGTACTTTAAAAAAAACACAAACCTATAGAGTATCATCATACCATGTAGGGATATGAAAACAGTTTTTGTTTACAAAAAACCTGGAACATAAACAATTGCTATGGAGTTCATTGCTTGCCATGCCATCATTTTGATTCTCTGGAATCAAACAGACACCTTGCAAATTCTTTTCATGATTCTTCCTCATGTATTTCTCATTATATTTAAGATTGTCCATATATTCAGCAGGATTTTACAGTATATCTAAAATGAGAATTAAAGGTTACTTCATCAGAACCTTGATCCATGCTTTTAAAAAGCTCATTTTTCTTTCTGTTGTTTTTAATCCCTTTTGTATCTATCTAAAATGTTGACAGTTAATTCCTATCCATTAGAGCTCCAGTCCCTGCAGTTTGTACCTATATGTCTTACAGCTGCTCCCTTTTATCTGTCCAGCTGTCTTTCTGTCACTTTCCTATCTTTCACTCTGCTGGAGGGTCTGCTGGCTGATAGATGTCAAATTGCAATAACTAAAGCATGTAGCTTGCAGACAAAATTGAGCTGGTAATAGGGTGCCAGCTCACAGATGGCTGAATGCTCAACCTGCTAAAGAAAAATACTTGCACCCTTTAAATTAAGTTCAAGTCACCTTTTTTCATGCTGTACAGTAAAAATAGGAGACATCCACTCCTTGTGAAAAGGAAAAGAACTGCTGACTCCTGGCTGTGTGTGGACTGATTACATAGTAATTCAGTACTGGTCCTAGTGTATATTTTCTCACTGCTGGAGATGTACATGATTTTTCAGTCTAAGGTTCGATATGAAAGAGAAGCTAGTTATACCCATTGATGTTACTAAAATGAGGAGATGTTTAAAAGCCACGCTTGTGGCTTGTGTGTGCAGTTCTGGTCAGCTCACCTAAAAAATGCTATTGTAGAGTCGGAAAATGTTCAGAAAATGGAACCTGAGTGGAACAATTCCCCTGTGAAGAAAGGTTACATTTGGGGATTTCTAGTTTAAAGAAAATATGTACAAGAGGAGACATGATAGAGGTGCATAAAATTGTGCATGTCGTGAAGAAGGTAGGGAGAGAAAAAGCTTTTATCTCTGTCTCTTAACAGAGACAGAATTTGTGGTCACCCAATTAAGATGAATGTTGGAAGACAGACAAAAGGAAGTACCTCCTTACACAGCACATAGTTATGCTATTGAACTTTCTCCCACAAGACAAGAGGCAGTGATGGCCACCAACTTGGATGGCTTTAAATGAGAATTATTATTATTATCAATTTCATCTCTATACTGCTTTATATTTTTAAGGGAAAAAATCTCAAGCGGTTTACAACCTACATCAAAACATCAAATAAAACAATTCAAAGCAAGCATAATTAACAGGAAGCTAAATTATTATCTTAAAGATTTCAAAATAAAACCTTACTAAAGGTAGTCAAATATGAAATGCACATTTAAAACATCATCAGTAGCAAAAAATATAATCGTTATCACAATCAGAGAACATATCAGCTGCTGTTGCTGCCATTCCTGCCAATGGTGGTTCGTGGTGGGTGGTGGCTGTGGAAGCCAGGCTCAGTGACCTGGGTTTGCTCTAAGAGACAGCCAAGATAGTCTCTGGCTTCTTCAGCAGCCTAAGATTTTATAGCCAGAGTCAGTTGGGGCCCTGACCTTCCAGGCCAGGTGGGAAAGGCCTGCAAGACAGGAAGCAGGTCTTCCATGACATGCAGCCAAGAATTATGCTTCTAACTACCAGTTGCTGTTTGTGAGCTCCCCACAGGCTGGCAACTGTAAGAATGCGATGCTGAACTAGATGGGCCAGCAGGCTTTTATAAATATTTGTAAATAATGATTTTTTAAATTAAAAAATGTTAACCCAGACAGAAAATGGAAACAATTCTGTTTATATTCCACTGTTTATATCATTGAGGAAAGAGTCTGTGGTAGTGTGCCTGCTTTGCATGCAGAAAGTTCCAGGTTCAGTTCCCAGCATCTCAGAGCTGGGAGTGTCTCCTGTCTGGAACCCTGGAGAGGCTCTACCAGTCACAGCAGACATTACTGAGCTATATGGGCCTATGGTCTGACTCACCTTAAGACAGCTTTCTATGTTCCTATCCCACAGTGAAATTCCCCTCTGTGCTAGCTCCTTTGTCCTTGGTGTGATTGTAGTTTAGGAATCAAACTGGTGACATTTGCATGTGTTATTTCAATTGGAAAAAAATAATTTCAGTTAAGCTCCTAATATACAGTGGTACCTCTGGATGCAAAAGGGATCTGTTCCGGAACCCCGTTCGCATCCTGAAGCAAATGCAACCCGCATCTGCATGTGTGCGGGTCACAATTCGCCGCCTCCGCGCAGGCGCGTGACATCATTTTGAGCGTCTGCACATGCACGAGTGGCAAAACCCAGAAGTAACGCGCTCCGTTACTTCCAGGTCGCTGCAGAGCATAACCTGAAAACGCTCAACCTGAAGCACATTTAACCCGAGGTATGACTGTACTCCTAATGATCCAGACCCGTAGGCAGTTGTCTGATAGCTTATAAAGTTCATTTGTCCCTGCCTTGGGATCCAGTCTGGTTTAGTCTTACAGTACTGTAAACTAGACATCTGGGGGGGGGGATGCTCAGGAAGTACATTTCTACATAAGTCACACTATATTGCTTCCAATGCTACCATTCTATGAGCCAACGAATAATTTGCATTTAAGCTTGCACTTGCTTAGCAAAAATTGCAGCTTATGCTGTCACCCTGAATTCCTGGTCACAAATGGCTTTTGAAGACACCCAGAGTTTTAAACAGTCTCCTCTGTTGGTCTATGTGAGAACAAAAGTCAGTAGTTCCACTGGACACCTGAAGCTAATGGATTTGCATTTGTCTGGACTCAGATTTTGATCATCTTTTTTTGTATCAATTGACTTCGATAATCAAGTCAAACCTCTTCTTGTGCTGATCTTATCTATAGAGAGCTGCATCTTCTAGATGATAGCAATGTGCACTCCGCTGTTATTTCCCTTCCTTTTTATTGCTTCAGAGCATCTTTTTGCTTTATTTAAAGCACCTATTGGTAGTTCAAAGATTGCATTCGATATTTGAACTGCATTCCTAGGAACTGTGTTATTACATGCATAGTTACTTGTGTGGCATCATATTTTCTTAGGTTGAATTTTTCCAAGCAATTGGGACACTAAGGAGCAGAACATGATGTGAAGTGTAAAATTGCTTCAGAATAGCTAGCTATTTGGTATTTGGGGGATTAGTTATTTAGCATTTCATAAAAAGCTTCAGCTCCCCACTTATTCTGCAGTCACTTCACCACTTCACATGCTTGACTTGTCTGTGAATAGTTTATGACAAAAGACATGAAATGCACTATTGTCATTTGCTGTCATCACATACCAGGAAACTATTGCCAGGAATATAATTACAGTGTGCATTGCAAATTGGGCAGAATTACCACCGCTTTTATTTTCATTTTATTTTAAACTGATCTTGCTAAATTCAGAGGAAATTAAAAGCTACAGGCAGAATTCTTTAAAAATCGAGGGCAAAACTAGACACTATGCCATTCAATTAGTAATTGCATGAATGATTTGTTAAAAGCAAATTGCAGGCTTAGGAAGAAGTGGTCCAGATAGGAAACCTGGGGTCTTTAAGCCTTTGATACCTCCCCTCTGTGGGCCCAATTTTGTATTATGCCTCCTGTGACTCCTTTTTGCATTGTAAAAAAGGCTCCCCTTGGAGGAACTCAAGACATCTTACAATGAAAAAATGAAAACAAGGCAACAAGTAATATTAAGCAAAGTTACACATAAATCCATTACCAAACATAACTTCAGAGCCAAAACTGAGACCACAGAAAAACCTCCTTGGTGAAGAATTAATTAAACAATAATATAGTGTTTTCAGGGAGCAGAAAAACACTAATAAAGTGGAGGACAACTGAAAATACTGTGGTAAGGAGTTCCACATTCTGGTTGCCACAGCAGAAAACACCTGGTCCTCCACTTAACCTTGGATTCTACTATCATATTTTGAATGCCTTCATTAGCTTCAAATATCTGCATGAATAACAGGGCTCATTGGATCACTAGCTGTGATGCTCACAGGGATTGTTATAAGTGCAGTTGCATGATGGGGTGGCATTGGACCCCCATTGATGCTGCTTACTGGGAGGTAGAGGGTTGGGGGTGGGGTGGTTGACAAGGTCAGTGTGGTGCAAATACCCCACCATGCTATCTGCTAATAATGTAGACCCAAATGCTGAATAAGTGATAAATGATATGTAGATAATGTTTCAGTCCTAAAAAATGCTGGTTATATATAGCTATTACAATATTGCTTTCAGAAATTAGACAAGAAAACAAAACCCCATTACCTCCATCCTGCCCTTGGCATTATGCCACTGTCATTTTACTCCAAAAGCAAATGTTATTGTTCTGTTTTTGCTGAAACACCAATCAAACCATAGCAATTGCTGCTATTAACAACAGATGCATTTGGCTGGTAGAGTAATGTAATTTCTTCTAAATAAAACCATTATTCAGAGATTTACTCCTGTGTGTTTCTGTTTCAGCTTCAGATATGGCAGCAGAACAGGGGCAGATTCTTGTCATTGCCACAGCTGCTGTTGGAGGATTCACGCTCCTAGTCATCCTCACTCTGTTCTTCCTCATTACTGGAAGGTAATTAACATTGGTATCGTAACTCATTTTCATGCAGGGCAATATTTATTTGATATTTTGTTTGTTACATTTATACCCTGCCTTTTCAAGAAAAAAAATGTCCAAAGTGTATCTGTGTTTGACCTAACAAGTCCCAGTGTTGTGCCAATGCTGGGGAAACTGGGCTCCTTGGAAGGGCAGTTAGGTCTGATGGCCCCATCTGCATTTGACATTTAAAGCCATATCATACTACTTTAAATAGCCATAGCTTCCTTCACGAAGCTGCAATTTACAGAGTTACCTAGGAAGCGGGATTGACTGTTAAACCACACCTAGAATTGTAACTCCGTGAGGGGAATAAGCTGTCTCCTCTAACAACTCTTAACCCTCTTAACACACTACAGTTCCCAGGATTCTCTGGGAGAAGCCATGACTGTTTAAAGTGGTATGATACAGCTTTAATTGTATAGTGAAAATGGGGCCTGAAGTGTAAACCACTCTTGACTGCTCTGTATCGCATTTCAGTACCTTCACATAATCTGAAAATGTTTAGACTATTCCTTAGCCTGAGTGACAAAGGAACGTGATGAGCAAAGGTGTCCTCTTGTGTTGGGTTTTATAGATGTAACATTTTTAGCCGTTTTGAATTTATGGTGGGGAAAACCATCTCCCCCTCCATTATTTCCAGTATAATAAATAAATACATTTGGAGGGAAACTCGCCTCCTTATCAAAGCATGAGTTATGACTTAGCACTTTGAAATGTTACCACTTATTATTTTTATGAACTTCTTCAAAATATATAATGCCATACTCTCCAACATTTCTCTGATGAAAATAGGGTCATCCTATTCCATAATAACAATTTTATCATTTATACCCTGCCTGTCTGACTGGGTTGCCCCAGTCACGCTAGGCCATGGGTAAGCAAACTAAGGCCCAGGGGCTGGATCCGGCCCAATCACCTTCTAAATCTGGCCTGTGGACAGCCCAGGAATCAGCATGTCTTTACATGAGTAGAATGTGTCCTTTTATTTAAAATGCATCTCTGGGTTATTTGTGGGGCCTGCCTGGTGTTTTAACATGAGTAGAATGTGTGCTTTTATTTAAAATGCATCTCTGGGTTATTTGTGGGGCATGGGAATTCGTTCATTTTTACCCCTTCAAAATATAGTCCAGCCCCCCACAAGGTCTGAGGGACAGTGGACTGGCCCCCTGCTGAAAAAGTTTGCTGACCCTTTCTCTGGGCCAGGGGTCTGCAACCCGCGGCTCCGGAGCCGCATGTGGCTCTTTTACATCTTTGCCGCGGCTCCGGGGCGGATACTAGCGAGGGGAGGAGGCGCATTGTGTGCCCCGACACTCCTCACTGTGGCGGGCGCTGTACTGGCTGTGACGTCACATGGGGGCGGTGCGTGCATTAGTCACACACCGTCCCGACATCACCTTCCCGCCCGCTGTCAGATCGCGGCTCCGGAGATATATTTGTTTTAAATGTCGCAATGGTTTTGCGGCTCCCAGTTGCTGTTTTTTCTTCGGAAACGGGTCCAAGTGGCTCTTTTTGTCTTAAAGGTTGCAGACCCCTGCTCTAGGCAGTTTCCAACATATATATAAAACATAATAAAACATAAAGCATTAAAAATCTTCCCTATATGTTCCCTTCCAATGTATTCTAAAAGTTGTATACAGTGGTACCTCAGTTTTCGAACATTTCCGTTGATGAACGTTTCAGAACTCAAACATTGTAAACCCGGAAGTAAATGCTTTGGTTTTCGAACGTGCCTTGGAAGTTGAACCAGAAACACAGCTTCCATATTGAGTTTTCCATATTGAGATTTCCGTTTTGAGGCTTCTTTCTTGAGTTTTGGGTTTTCGAACGTTTCGGAACTCAAATGGTCTTCCGGAACGGATTACGTTCGAAAACTGAGGTACCACTGTAGTTACTTATCTCCTTGGCTCGGGGGTCACATAACTCCATACCCTCTGATGAAAACAGGGACGTCCAAGGAAAAACGGGATCAAATCAGAAACTGGGACAGCTTCTGTAAATCCGGGACTGTCCATGGAAAATCGGGACTCTTGGAGGGTTTGTAATGCCTTAGCTTTATTCAAATAATCATAGACTTGCCTCCACCTCAAGAGATGAATCTGCAACCTATTGTACTCTCTAAGGTACCCAAATTTATCTTATTTTTTCCAGCTACAGTGATAGGAAAAGATTAAATGAAAGCTGAGCATTGAAACGATCAACATTGTAGGAAACAAAGTTTTCTGCTGTTAGATATCTGCTCTTAGAAACAGTGTTTTTATCAAGCAGAAACAGAATAAACTTGAAATTTTAGTAAATAAAATAAAAAACATCGCACAGTAGACCTGCTGGTATAATGGAAATTCACCTTCCTCTTCTCTTCCTCACCCTGTACCAATCTGCTCTGGGGGACATTTGGTGGGAGGTACACAGGGGGTTGCAGGTGGGAAGTGAGGAAGATGAAATTCCATTGTGCAAACAGAAGCCTGTTCCTCTTGCACACAGACACCATTGAATACAACTCCTATAATGTAACACATGAGTGGCAATAATTTTGGAAATTAGTATATTATCATTGCACATAGAGAGTCTGAAGTCCTGTTTAGTGATCACTTAATAAATTTTTAGCTTTTCTTGAAGTATCTAGCATTGTAAGAATTACTGTACCACTTTCTGGTGAGCCCCATCATGTACAGATTTAATTCACATAACTAATTATGGTTCACTTTGCAGTTAAAATTATGGGTGATAATATTTTTGAAAGGCAATTGTGACAAATTACATCACAAGATTGTAAATAGCTTTACTAACAGACATCAAATAAGACAGGATAAATGCAAACATTTCAAAGCCACAGACCTTTGAAATGATTTTGCTCAGCAAACAAATGACATTCTGAAGTGTGCTTCTCACTTTAGTGGAAAGAGAGAGTCATATTTTGATTTCTTCTTGTTTCATCACATTTATTAGATAACATTAAGAACGTTGGAAACTGTTCTTTTAATGTATCCCTGTTGAATTACATTCTTTCAATTACATAAGATATGGATTCATTTTCTGAAGTTACGTAAACATCAGGATAAAGAGACAGGGCAATTCAGAACAAATATTCAACATGTTTTAGAATCTCAGGCAAATTTCAAAGTGGAAGATTGGGCTGGTATGCTACAGATGTGTTCTGATTCACCATTTAGAATTAGCAATTTGATGCAATGTTGAATCACAAGGCTGCTGATGAGTCTATTCATACTGAAGAGTCAGAAGGAAATATGCACCTGCATCTGTATTTGACTGAATGATTTACCTGCTAACAGCAAATCGGCATGCCAAGTTTTGAATGAATAAAAACCACAAAAATATTATGAGAGAATTAAAACTTGGGTTTGATCAGTATGAGATTTCTATATTGCTATGGGATTTTTCCGAGTTCAGTGAAGCTGTGCAACAAAGTGAAGCTCCTGTGATATGTGATGTTAGTGAATATTTTTGCTAAGGAATGAATCTCCCAGCAGCACAAGAATGTTCATAAAGCATCCAGATTGTCTGAAGAAAGTTAAAGCTCATTTTAGCAGGAAAAAGGAAAAAGGGAAGATGCTTGAATAGGTAAGGAAGGCTAAAAGAAGTAGAAATTTGATTGAGTGCAAGTCCTAGAACTCCAAAGGGACAGTTTGAGCCCAGCGGCGAAAATGGCTGTAAGAGGGGGAAACCCGAACCAAAAGACTGTGATGAAATGGACAAAATGGATGAGAAGTAGAGGAAGGGACTGGCTAATGAAAAAACATTGGTAATGAATTAATGATCACAGGGGAATAAGGAAAGATGTTTCTGGGAGCTATTGAGGGCACAGGAATCAATGAAAAAATTGAAGAGGAGGAGTGAAATTAAGAAAAGAAGGCTCTAAGAAGAACACTACAATTTTTATTGTATGAAGCTGTTCATAAATTTTTTGAAATGTGATACACCCTGAGTGACTAGGAAATGGCTGGATATAAACTGAAGAACTGAATACAAATATTCCTATCCTAGGGGCAAGAGGAGTAGATGCCATTGGGCTCATATGACTTGCAGTAACCCAGTGGGATTTTTCCCATTTAGAACTGGGTGGTAGAGCCAATCCTACCCCTGGAAGCTCCTGTTTTGGTAAAGGATAGATTTAGCCCCTTTTAGCTGTATTACAGCTTGCAGCCTAACCCCATCCTTGGTTTCATTTCTTAGTCATGTGGAGCATCATCCCAGAGTGTGGTGGTTCCTAGTAACATTTTTTTTGCACAGATTTTTTCACATAGATGAGGAAAGTTTGTGTTCCCATTGTAGATACATTTAAAAAGTATTGGATCTTCTTTGATACCTAAGCCCTCTTCAGGTGTCCAATAATGAATATGTGTAGGGATTTCCAAGAATGTATTGACGAAGTATAGGACCCCTGGACAGTTAAGTCTAATCAGAGGCAAGTATGGGGTGCATTGCTCATCTCACTTCAAGCCGAGGGAGCTGGTGTTTGTCCACAGAGAGCTTTCCAGGTCATGTGGCTAGCATGACCAAACCTTTACCTTTCTAATGTATTGAGTAGCCCCTGTATAGCATGCGTGCATGCATGAATGAATATAAGGCCCCTTCTACTGAGACAAGAACCCTGGTCCATCAAATCTCTTGTCGCTATCAGTGGAGCTTTGTGCATTGTTGGATCATTTTCAGAGTAACACCAATCACACATTTTCTAGATGTGTTGCTCATCCATGACTTGGTGCCTACAGAATGGTTCTTGCTAGCACATTCTCAGAAGTACTTTCATGAGTTTGGTTTTCACAGGTACTAAATAAATGGAAAGGGCTTCGGTACAGTTATTTATTACTAAGCATGCCATTATTTTATTTGGTTGCTGTTTTTCTAGCTGCCCTCTACAATTAATATGGCTTTTGTAAGTTTAGTTCATAAAAGAAAAATAATCAGCATGTAAATTCAATGTCATTCCTTCTGTGGTGTTTAAAAAAGTGAAATGATGTTCATTTTCTTAAAGGTGCCAGTGGTATATAAAGGCAAAAATGAAGTCTGAAGAAAAACGAAGAGCTCATTTGCAAAATGGACATTGTAAGCAAAGCTATCGGTGATGTTTCATATTTAAATGAAGAATGATCATTGCATTTTTAATGTATTTTCACTTCTTATATCTGGCTGAAAGAGGTAGAAACATTCTACCCTTCCACAACTTATCATATACCCACACCTCCTAAATTTACTTGTGGCTTAAGTGTACACTTAGAGCTCCACATAAAAAGAGTACTTTCATGTTGAGGGAAACACCATGAACTCCACAAAAACTTTTCTTAACATTGAAGTGATTGGCTCCACCTAGAGATAGTAGAGAGATTCAGTTCAGCTCACATTTAAAGGCACATCTACCTAATTCACAAAACACAGCTACACTTTGAAATTTGCACTTCTCTGAATTTTGCAATTTTTGCTCTAGCTACGTAATGTGTAAAAAAATGCATATACTAGTAAAGTATGCATAAAAATAATATATTAGTGAAAATAACATACAAAAATGCTTTATATTAAGGAAATTTGTGTTGCAAAAGTGTCTATATTAGGCAAAATCACATACAAACAATTGTATATTATTATGAGAAATTGAAATTTATAGATCCATCCATCCCTAGTTTCACTCCTGCTCAGACGTGTTTATTATTACGACTAAATAATAAACATAGTAAAAACTAGAATTTCAGCATAAGTTTTAAATAAACATTAAAATGGTCAAAGTAGAATATAACTATCAATATATTAATTAAATAGATTTAAAATATGTATCCAAGGAAATATAAATTATATTAAAAGGTATTTTTTAAAATAGAATTTGACTATGAGTTGTGTCAATTTATGACTGTGGAGCTGTGTGAACTTTTGCTTCCTTTGACTTACGGCTATTGCATAAAATCTAGCTACACTTCTAGTGACACAAGGATTCCATTTGGACAAGAGGCAACTTAAATTAGGGTTGTCATATGAGTTGCAATGGGTTGCAGTGAGAATCCAGACACAACAGTTGTTGAGTTTTTGTTTGGTTTTGTTTGCTTTTTTAAAATCTCAACAACAAAACCGAAGCTTTTTAGCTTTTTTTTTTGTAAATTTGCCAAAAAATCAGCACTTCCAGGTTGTTTTCCCAGACATAGGCAACTGACTTCCGAAAATTCCGCCAGGACACCATTTTCGACAGAAGAATCCTGGCAATGTCCAAGAAATTGCGGGCAGCCCTAACTTAAATAGAATTCCTCCGTTCTCCCTGGTACTTTCCGTACAAGTGGGGTTATGAGGGAAGTGTCTATGTATCTAAAATGTCAAATTAATAAATACATCAAACCCTCCACTTATAGATCTAAAGTGTACCACAAAGTGAATCTTCCATTATATTTTTAAACCTACGCTATTCCAGGGTGCTTGTTTGGGGCTGTAGGGATAACTCCCCACCACCTCTTTAAACTTCAAAATAAATGCATTTTATCTGCACTGAAAATGTTTTTGTTAATTTCCACCTGCTCTTCATTATGTGATTTTTTCTCAACTTTCTAACTTATGCCTGCCAGAAACCACATCACACTTATTTGCCAAAAATGAATGTTTATCCCTTTAGTTGTGATTTCATTCTCACTTCTATCATTTTCATAGTGAAATAATTTCCATAAAGGAAAAACAGAAATGGGTCACAAAGGAGACAAGAATTTCGAATTCAATGTCATTTCTTCCACATGTTTAAAGTGTGTAATATCAATGTTGCCTGTACAAAAATTCAACATGAATCAATTTATCATTCTTCCTAACCACAAGCTCCGTGCTTCCGTGTTGTTCTCCCTAACAACAACAGAACAGTGAGATGGGACGGTTGAGAGGCAAGGTACAGCTAGTATACTTGGGGTAGGTAAGAATAAGAATGTTGCTTAAAAAAAAAGAAATCTGAGGAGACAAAAGAAAAACACTCCCATCAAGAACTGCATGTACACAAAGCCCTCCTATAAACACCATATAAATGTAATAAATAAATAAAATTAATCATAGAAAGGGGAACAGAGAGAGAAAAGACAAAAGCAACTTTGTGACCTGCTCACCATCCAACTCCTGGTGATTTGAGCTGAAGTGGCCTCTCCCCTCTAAACTGCCACTGCAGGACCACTTAAAAACCATCTTGCCAATCTGCCGTCATGCAGCCACTTTGAGGAAGTGAGAGAAGACAGAGCAACCTGTCAGATTACCTGATTGAAGAAAGCAGCATGAAAAGAGCAGGAGACAGCATATATTTAGCTGTCAATTAGACTGTGAAATGCATGGGAGGTGCCTGCTGCAGATAAAAGTTTTGAACTGCTGTATTTTTACTGTGCATCACATCAGACACTTTTAAAGTGGAAAGGCAATTAATGCAGAATATAAATAACTGATAATAATAAATAAGAGGAGGAAGCCGGCTCCTGAGGGGCTAGCTTCTCACCCCATCCCCCTTCAACAGAGAAGGAAAGGAACTATCTCAGACAGCACTGGAAGGCATGGATACTGTGTGGGTGTGGTGTGGGTGTGGGTGGGTGTAATGAAGGGAGGTTTTGGAATGTACATAGTACTCTTATGTACTATAGCACTATATTTCTATATTTATCAAATTTGTAGCTAGTCCTTCCTCCTAAAGAAGCCTAGGACGGCATATTGCTTAAGTTGTTGTTGTTGTTTAGTCGTCTAGTCGTGTCAGACTCTTCGTGACCCCATGGACCAGAGCACGCCAGGCACTCCTGTCTTCCACTGCCTCCCACAGTTTGGTCAAACTCATGCTGGTAGCTTCAAGAACACTGTCCAACTATCTCGTCCTCTGTCGTCCCCTTCTCCTTGTGCCCGCCATCTTTCCCAACATCAGGGTCTTTTCCATGGAGCCTTCTCTTCTCATGAGGTGGCTAAAGTATTGGAGCCTCAGCTTCACGATCTGTCCTTCCAGTGAGCACTCAGGGCTGGTTTCCTTAAGAATTGAGAGGTTTGATCTTCTTGCAGTCCATGGGACTCTCAAGAGTCTCCTCCAGCACCATAATTCAAAAGCATCAATTCTTCGGCAATCAGCCTTCTTTATGGTTCAGCTCTCACTTCCATAGTTAACAACAACTGGCATATTGCCTAACTTACAAGGAAGACAAGTTTAAACCACTTCCCTTTCTCCAACAATTGCTTCAAGGGAGAATGGAATCTGAGCCCCCACCCAGTGGGTACATGGTGGACAGAGACAGTTTCCTGACTTTCCAGCAAATAAGTTGCTGTTGCTTGCTAGGCAGATGAGAGGGGTGAAGAAAGTGGGGGAAAGGGCAGTGTGGTGCAAACACAGTGGCAAGACTGGCTTGATTGCCTCCACTTGAACCAAACTGCCCTTCTTGCCCTTTCTTGCCCCAATAAGTAGCAGTTCAGCTGCCAATAGGACATGTAAGTCCCTGCCCCCTTCCCACTGTCTGCTGAGGGGTGGAGGCAGTACGATAGTAGTCTTTTATGTACTTAATAGCATCAAGTTTTATCCGTAAGTACAGTAGTCACAGAACGTTTGAGTTAAAGTCCTTTTTTAGAAGAAGGTTCTGTGAAAATTAGTTGGTAATTAGTAAATGTTCTTAGATGTATATGAAGGAAGCAGAATCTGGAATTAGATTTACTGTTATGATTATTAACTACTTCTTAATAGTCCCATTTGATTTGATTTATTTTTCCTGTGTGTGTGTGTTGCCTGAATTATTTCTGTCTAAAGCAAAAACAATATTTCTGGTTTTTCAGTGCGATTCCCAGGAACTAAAACATACATTGATCCAGACACGTATGAAGACCCATCCCTTGCTGTTCATGAGTTTGCTAAGGAGATCGATCCATCACGAATTCGTATTGAGAGAGTAATCGGGGCAGGTAAAAATTCATCACACTTAATTTGCAAGTATAACTAATATGTACTCTTTTTAATACAGATAAGCTGATCATCTCCATCAAGAGCTGATCATCTCCATCTAATGCTGTATAAAAAAGGAATGTAGTTTTCTAATAGGTGAAAATACTTCAAAGTATCACTCAAATCATTACACATATTTAGCCACATGAATTGATTGATTGGTTGGTTGGTTAGTTGGTCTTGTAAGAGAAGGAAATAGGTTCTGGTTCTGATCTAGAACCTTACCATGCCTGAATTGCTTTTGCTTCTTCCTGTGGCTGATAGAACACAATGGGTATTATTATTTTTTGCTTCCCAGCCATCTGTATTTGTATAGGCTGCCCAGTAACATATGCCATCTCAGCACCTAGTTGCTCTGTTGCTTCATATGGAATTTACTCACTAGGTCACCTCCTCTGATTTGTATTTTTATGACTGTTTGATTGTGTTTGTCCACACATATATATGTTCCTCTATGTCTAGGCCAGAAATCATATTTGAAATAATCTCTAACTTGGCTTACTTTTTCCAAGAGAGATTTCATAGAATATTGAACTAATTTTTTTATAAATAAGATTTATATTCCATTTTTCTGCACTAAAAAGGTAATAAATGCAACCTTATTTTTATTTGAATGGAAATTACTATTTGGAATAGAATTAATTCAAAATTCTACGCCTTAATTTCCTTATTTTATGGCCTTCTAGTAAGCAGCACGTGCATACTGCTACAGTACAGTTCTTCAAACAAAATTGTTGCGGTTTGTTATTAAGGCAAGTCAATACAGTGGTGCCTCGCAAGACGAAAAGAATCCGTTCCGCGAGTCTCTTCGTCTTGCGGTTTTTTCGTCTTGCGAAGCAAGCCCATTAGCGGCTTAGCGGATTAGCGCTATTAGCGGCTTAGCGGGCTTAGCGGATCAGCTGATAAGCGGCTTAGCGGCTTAGCGGATCGGCTGATAAGCGGCTTAGCGGCTGGGGAAAAGGGGGGGGAAGGGGGAAAAACCTGCAGGAACTCGCAAGACATTTTCGTCTTGCGAAGCAAGCCCATAGGAAATTCGTTTTGCGAAGCACCTCCAAAACGGAATACCGTTTCGTCTAGCGGGTTTTCCGTCTTGTGAGGCATTCGTCTTGCGGGGCACCACTGTACCATGAAATATTAAAATTAGGCTGTGGGAGGTGGAAGTACTCCCATAAATATGAGATTATTACTAGTTCTCTGAAAGGTTCTGCAGCCGTCTACCCTTCCCCATAATCCTCCTCTTCTTTCTGACAGGCAGGGGCAGTTGTGGCTTATTTATGTACAACTAAAAGTTGTAATTTCCACTTGTGGATGGAAGTGGCACAACAGATTTTTAGACAGGATTTCTGTTAATTTGTTTAGGAATGCTAGAATGTCTTTCTTATTAGCACAGCTTACTTGCTTAGCCAAACCTTTATTAGGCTTTACAACTGTATTTTTGTGTGAACGGCTATTCTTAATAATGCAGTTTTCACCACCTGTACTTTCCTGAATTTCATTTGCCTCTCAGCTCACAATTTATAATAACCCCAGCCACAACTGTGATGTATGTCGTCTTCTTCTATATTTAAAAACACAGTCTTAAGTTGAAATTCTGTTAGTGCTTGAGTATCTACAAAAAACTTATTTTTAGCAAAGGGAATTAATAATTACACTATAATAGAAAATGTCCACCAACAGAGGTGTTGTTTACCTCAGTAATTAATATAGTGGTGTTTTATAGCTGTATCAGCTAACTACACTGCTGATAATGTGAATCCTTTTGCTCCTCTTGGACTGCGAAGACTGATTAAAGAAGAGGCAGCGATGAAAAAAACTCATAAGAAAAAACAAATCTTCACAAGTCATTCTGAGAAATATCAGGATTATTTTCTATATGCTACTAACTGGTACAGCAAAATTAGCAGTTGATAACTGGTGGTTAAATATCACCAATGGTTATGAGTGAAATTAGATATATGATTTCCTTTTAGGAAAACGTTTTCTTGTGGGGGAGGTGTAACCCATAACACTAAAAAAGGGATAAAAGAGGGCAAGATATGCATAAATGTGCATGTACTAATTTATACAAAAAGATACAAATATTAATAAATTTAAATAAAAATACAGGATATTTCACCAAAGTGTGCAGTCTGGTCTCCAGAAGCTGATGGGCAGCTTCAAGATGCTTGTTCTCCCTTTTAATGGTTTTGTTTTTACAGCAAACTTGGAGTGGGCAATTCTTAGGGGACTCCTTCAAACAAAGAACTGCCCTCTTAAAGTAGGACACATGACCACACTACTATTGTAATTTTTTCATTTCTCAAGGATGTCTGAATACACAGTTCCAAAAATGGACCTTAGAGGTTAGATAGTTATTTTATTCATCTGTGTGGAATAGAATGCAGTTGTACTTCCTTGAATGTTTATTTGATGTTTTCTTGTATGTGACTTGGTCTGTTTTCTCCATCTATTAACTCACTAATTAGGATTCTTTATTCCTGTGTAGATCCTATTTATAATTTGTAGAGTTTTAAGCATTTTTTTATTTTATTTTTAGGGGACGCGGGTGGTGCTGTGGGTAAAACCTCAGCGCCTAGGACTTGCCGATCGCATGGTCGGCGGTTCGAATCCCCGCGGCGGGGTGAGCTCCCGTCTTTCGGTCCCAGCTCCTGCCCACCTAGCAGTTCGAAAGCACCCTTAAGTGCAAGTAGATAAATAGGTACCGCTTTATAGCGGGAAGGTAAATGGCGTTTCCGTGTGCTGCGCTGGTGCTGGCTCGCCAGAGCAGCTTCGTCACGCTGGCCACGTGACCCGGAAGTGTCTCCGGACAGCGCTGGCTCCCGGCCTCTTAAGTGAGATGAGCACACAACCCTAGAGTCGGACACGACTGGCCCGTACGGGCAGGGGTACCTTTACCTTTAAGCATTTTTTACATGCTTTGAGCACACATTGAAGTGAAAGGATTCTTTTGGAACTGTTTGTACTTATTCAGGCATTAAATTCTGAAACTGCTACAATGACATCTGTCTCAAAGGCTTAGATCTTAAACACATGCACTGCTGACAATCTAACCAACTGCTTTTTAACTTAAGGTGAATTTGGAGAAGTATGCAGTGGTCGCCTGAAAACACCTGGGAAAAGGGAGATTCCAGTGGCCATTAAAACTTTGAAAGGTGGATATGTGGACAGACAGAGAAGAGATTTTCTACGAGAAGCTAGTATAATGGGGCAGTTTGACCACCCAAATATTATCCGCCTTGAAGGAGTTGTTACAAAAAGTAAGTAGCTTAGGACATTTTTTTCATATCATAATTCTTGTCTTTTTGCTGCACTTATCCCAATTCAGATGGGAGTTTCCACATACAGTTGTGCTGCTTAATAAGGAAAAGCACATATAAAGGGTATTTTGTCTAGTTACTACACTGGAACCACATTCACAATGAAAAATAGCATATCTCTTGTTTGTGATTTGATTAAATATTTGCCATATTTTTCCATATATTGGACAAGGTTTGTTTTTTTACTCAAAAATCATGTCAAAAAACTGGGGTCGTCCAATACACGGATAGTGGCATGTGGGGGAGAAGCGATGCACCACCAGCCAGCTCGTTGGCAGGAGCACGGCTTCTTCTGATGCCGCAGCAAGCAGGGAGCGATCTGGGGGGTGTTTCCTGCCCGCAGCTGCATGGGGGGAAAGGCTCAACAATTTTGGGCCATCTCCCCTCATTTTCCTAAAATTGAGTCCCCAAAAATAAGGGGGGGGTCTTATACATGGGGGTGTCTTACAGACGGAAAAGTACAGTATATTGGTTCTGATTTGACCTTTTCAAATTCTGTATCATCAGTAAAAATAAATTGTACCCAGTGTATTGTTTTGAATATTCCCCATAAGATCTAAAAGGGAAGACAAACGCAATAATCTGCATAATTTTATAGTATACAGTACTTGTGGACTATCATTTTAACTATTAATACTTCTGCCACTTAACAAAAAGGTAACTAAAAATGACCAGGGGTAGAACAAATAATAGTGACCTTCATTGTAGGGGCAAATATTTCATATTCATAGTTGCAGGTAAGTTCATAGGGTTTCTGAAGACTTGTGGATATGCAAAACAAATCAGGAATAAATGTTTTATTACACTATATATTGTGTAATTAAGCCAATTGCATCAAATGGATGAGGGTCTGCTATTTAAATGGAGAATGCTAAGCTTGGAAATATTGCACAACAGGCAGACAATCAGCTTATTGTCTATTAGCTATGATACAAATTAATATGCACAGTAATTTTTAAAATACTAAAAATATATATCTGATTTTGCAGCGTCCTTTCAACAAAACAAAACTTTTCATTCAAGTAATGTGGAAGTTTCAGTATATGCCTGAATCTACCTTTCTGCAATTCCTGTTCCTTTTAAACAATTGACTTTTAGGAGACCTTTCCCAATGTTGAAACACAAAAGCAAACAGCAGTTTGGGCCATAAAACAAACTATAAATATGTGTAGTGCTTTTTTCTGGGGGGACGCATACCCCTAAACATTTTGTGAATCTTTGTACTTTTGTCCATTTACTGTAGTTATTTTCCCCAATTTGAACTATAAAATGGTGATTTTCTTGAGTCAAAATGAGAGTACCCCTAAACATTTTTTAAGAAGAAAAGCACGGCATATGTAGATGGATTTAAAGACCGGTTAGTTCGTTCATTCTGTTCTAGGAGTTATATAGTAGGAATCATGTTTTCAAGACAAAATTCTTGCTGTCACCACCTCATCAGATTTGGTTCTTTGTCATGCTTCCTTATGTTCATAACTATTTTAAAAGTGTTCTTAAAGCTTCTGCAAACGGATGTGTTGACAGCATGAGAAAATTCCATCCTTGTGTTGTTGCAGTGTAATTAAGCTTTCTTATTTTTATTCTAAATCACAAGATAATAGCACAGCTACTATAACACATGATAAGATGGCAGAAACACTCACAAAACCATAAGCTAATGAGATATCTAATGGTATTAATAGTTGTGTAGGGGTACCACCGTATACTTCTTTTCCCTCTCACCCTTGCACATCCTGGTGTAACAGCAATGTCTCAAGCAGCAAGTAGTCTGGTAAATGTGGTTTTTCCATTACACCTTGATTTCTTAGTGTAGACATCAGGCATCCCAGGGCTCCATGTATGCTCAGTAGAAGCCTTCACATAGGGCCCTAAGCCATGTTGTTATGAGAGCACCTGACACCCAATTTAAGGACATGGGTATCTGGGGAAATTACAGTTAAATGAGGACCTTGATCCCAGGAACACAGCTGGTGCAAAATTCAAGAACCTGTGAAGAAGAGATGAAACAACAGGGTACAAGTTTGGTATGCTGCAGTAATAGGGAGCGAAAAATACTGTGTGCTAGCTTTTGCTTGTTGTAAGTTAGCTAACCATACAATATCTTTAAAAAAGGAACCTATATTGAACTTTTGGTTACAGGGAAATATAGTTAAATTGAACAGATTAATTCAGAGGCAGATAATTAATCAGTGAAAAACAGTTTAATAGGCTGGTGTAAAGTGTAAAGCAGCTTCATTTTGAAAACTGCTTACACTAAAGTAGTTCAGTTTGAGTCTGTGAGAATACTGTAAATTGAGCAGTTTCTGAGTTGCAACACAGCATCCCTAGCAATGGGATAATTATCAGATAGAATCTGACACTGGACTTACTGAGACATACACCACTATAAGTGGTTAATGAATCACTTTCTGACAGTCAGAAACAGAGTTGGTCTGCAGTACTTAGGCAGAGACTTTCTCCTTATGTTAGCCATAAGTTATTAAGCTGTAACCATTGCCTGTATATAGTCCTTCAGTTAGTAGGAAATGCAATCCATCACAATGTTTTTATCTGTTGACCTAAAAGGGGCGAAAAAAACTCCACCAGATTACATGATTACAATACGTGTGATAATTCCAGTTCGAAATTACTGGTGAATGAAACCGCACAAATAATTTTTGTTGTTGTATAATATCAGGAAAACAAGCATTAGCAGTCATGTACAACTCAAGTTGCAGAGTATGGCTTAGCTCCTTCGTTCCTGTGAGCAGAAAGGTGGGGGGGGGGTTCAGTGTTCTCCTGCAGCCAGCCCCCTGTGCCATCTGTCACAGAGTGTTGACTGATGCTCTGGAATATTGCGAGAAGTCATACAGGGAAGTATAGTGGGAAGGAGGAATTAGTAAAAACATTCTTACCCCCTCTTCTGCCAGAAGGAACTTCCATTAGAACAGTTTATTGTTAATAGAAAAGCAACTTGGGATCCAAGACTGGGTGGTCTTCTAAATAAAGGATCCTATATCATCTTCCAGGATCATTCTTTCAGATTTCAGTAATTCTTATTCTTCAAAGAGGAACACCGTGGATTGGATCCAGAACAGCTCTTTCTCCCCTCACAGAAAGCAAGGGAAATATTTTAACTGGTTCCCCATGCAGCTCTGCACTGCTTCCTACACTACTCTAGAAAGCCCATCCCCACAACCCCCCAGAGCAGATGTTCAATGGGGAATAAGAAACTGCAGGGGGAGGGTTGCAATGAGCCAAAATCGATTATTCTGACTCTATGAACAGGAACACTCCTGCATGAAATAACATTTTTAAACATTACTGTGTTACAATGTTCTTAATTCTAACTGTTTTTGGAATCTTCTAACCATTTCTTGAATGCCTTTTAAAAAATAAAATATGGATATGTTTGCCACCGATGCTCCTTTAGGAGGAAAAGTGGGATATAAATTTAATAAATCAGCATCAGAATTATCCGTCACATTTATGTGGTTCCAGCCTCATATAATTTCTGATTTCCTATATGCTTGCACTATGCTCACATAGGGCATATTTCAACCATTCTGTCTCATTGGAGAATTCTAACAGTCATCCTCCCATCTAACCCAGTTTGCTGTTTTATAATACTGAAATTCCAGATTCTGAAGTATTTCCATTTTCTTGAGGCAGATATGTGTAGTCAATGATTTCCAGAGTTCAGCTTTAAATGTGGAACTGCTTTGTTGCATGTTGTGGTCACCTTGACTATTCCATTTACACAAAGTATATGTCCTGCAATGTGGATGACTACTACTCAATAAAAGAACAAAAGCAAGAATTCACTCACACCATTTTTGCTTTAGAAACATTATTGATTTTGTAGGCTTCAATTTAAAAAGACTCATTTGTTTTATTTTAAATCCACTGACTGATTTGCTTGTTGAGAGTAGACAGAGGAAACTTTTTTTGTTTGAGGTCAGTCTACTTTAGTGATTGCTTTCAACTTGCCTTTGGAAGTGTATCATCATGTGCCAATTTCTGATTTCACACTGAGCTTTTTTGGCTAAATCTAAAACTGCAATGGCTACCTTTCCAAAATGAATTTCCAAGAATGTGCATCTCGATCAGATGTTGACAAAGCCAGGATAAGAACTCCTGAGGCTCAGGCATTAATTTGACTACCACACTGCATAAAATACTGAATTTGTGTCAGCGTTGGAAAATCCTCACTCAATAGATTCTTTGCAGCTGACTTTCTTTATGCTCCAAAAGGAGCTGGTAACTCATTAAAAGGCATTTGCAAAGTAATTGGCTCTTTAAGAGTAACTGTTCTCAAAATTAAAAGGGTTATTCAGACTTGGATCAGTTTATTATTTTGAAAGATTTATATTCATTTTCATAAGAGGATAAATACCATTCTCCGTAAAGATTCAGATTTATGCACCCAGACATGATCTTTAGAATGAAACTCAAGAAGTATATTACATTGCTGTTGTGTACACTCCAGTTCCCCAAGCAGTGATAGTTTCCAGGGGTTCCAGCATGTCTTTGTGGTGGTACACATTGGAACCATTTTGATTTGTATTTAATTTGCTATGAAAAACCAATGACTTTTCTTTCTCAGCCCAAAAGCATTAATATTTATTGTATAATACAAAATCACTGTTGAAAGTAAAGTGCAGATAGATGACTGACCTGGATCCCACTTATTTTATTTCTTCTGGGTCTAGCCACCATTTTAATTTCTCACAATGTCTGTGGCCTAGCATTGCTCTGAGATAATTAAAGGGATAACTAAACCATTTGCCCCTTCATCTTCCAACACCGCCTCTTCCCAGTCTTCTCCCTCTTCTCACTCATTGTCCCACCACCACTTTCTTGACTTTTAGCCATCTTCCCTAAGTGGTTCCCCAGTTGGTTCCTTCCACCACTCCTCTGTGTCCAACCAGTCGATTACAGCAGGGGTCTGGAAGAAGCAA